TTCCACATCCTATAATCAACCCTTCCCCATAGGGCATCCATTTCATTCTTTGAATGTATAATATTTACCCTGATTGGTCCGAACGACAGAGAACTTGAGATCTCTATTTTCACATGGGTGTCTTCCCTTTCCATGATGAATGTTGTAACCCTGACACTTCCTTGCAAACAAAACATTGAGGCACGATTCAGAGGAAATGTCAGGAGCGCCGAAAAGTGCCCGAGCAAAGTCGTTTACAACTGAAACTTCTGGCGATTGCAAATGAGCCGGAAATGTGAGCTGAGCATGCCAGTAAAACCAGGCCTTATTCAGTGCTCTGCACAGTCTCTGCAGATTTCTGTCTAGGCAGCATGTCTGTGGTCCTGAGCAGGCTTCCCGAATGTGGACACAAGAAAGAACATCTTGGGTTTTCCTTTTCCTTTACTACATTAGGCCTGTTGAGATCAGAATCCCCAGATTGAGTTTAATGACAAGTTCCTAAAACCCACGTTCCTGATTGTGCAGGGTTGTTAATAATACCGTCCCGATGTTAGCCCTCGAGTCCTCGCCAAATTGCAAGCTGGGTAATTACATTCTACCTCCCTAGGTTACCCCTCCAGTTCCAAGTGGAGGTGGGGCTCATGCTCGCTTCTGGGGCTGAACTGTTGCACATTGTTGCAACACCTGCCACTTTCCACCCCAGAGGTGGCTGCCTATAGAGAAGAAGCTGCTTAATTGGCTGCTGGACAGCCTGTTATCCCAATTACAGAGCCATCCTAATTATCCGAAGACATCCCGCTTCTAAGCTCAGCAGGGGTTGTAGCCACCGGATTGTGCGAGCTCTGAAGCGCCTAAGCTCCACTCCTGTTCCCGGGGAGCTCAGAAGCCCAGCAGGGACCGGGGGTGCTGGGGGAGCAATCCATTTTATATTCCGTGGGAGCATCTGCCTCCCAGATAAACAGCGGTGCTAACAGCCAGCCCTGCTCACTGGGAGGAAATCAACTCCCTTGGCGGTAGAAGTCCCGACTGCCCATCAGAACTGGCATGTGCTGCATGTAGACAGCTGTATATTGCATACAGCTTCCGTGGGCCAAATCAGCTCAGTCAAGTCAGGGCTGTAGCAGGCCCTGGGTGCTCCCAAGCAGGGACAGTTGTGCTGCATAGGCAGGGCAAGGGTGCAGAGAGACTGGCATGGGTGCTATGGCAGCCTCCTCAAATTACCCCATGGGGCAGGGGAAGGATCTGGGGCTAGTGCCGATCTGCAGTCATGTGGATGCAATCCACCTCCTGTGTTTGGTAGGGGTGCCACCCTCACTTTGCAGAGTCCCCTGCACAAGGCCTGTTCATGTGGGATTTGCAATGGGGGGAAGAAGATCTGAGCTGCCAGTCTGCCAGTTCTTTGGGCACCTTTAGGATGAAGGGCCCTGTATAACTATTCCGTGGGGCTAGCGTTATGGGGCTTGATCTTCGCATGTAGCCCTTAGCACTGATTCACAGAGGCCATAAGTGGCTCTGCGCCCCCTGGTGCCCGTGCTGGATTTGTCTGTCCCTGTTTGGCTGCGCCCGCCACGTTGGCTTCTGTTTCCAGTGTGATAGCCAGGCTGCTCCTGGTGTGTTGATTTATGTGGGGGTTGCCACCGTGAGCCCTGTTTGTGACCCCCAGGCTGCAAAGATGCATGGATGCACTTGAAATTGTAACACATGAGAGCTGAAGAAGGGTAGGAACATTTCTCTCATCAGTCGATCCATTTCGCTTACCTGGCTGAGCTGGGAGATCTTCCCTTTCCTCCAACGTGATCTCCCAGCACGCTGATTTTGCCATGAGGAGATACCCCCCCCCTCCGCTCCCCTGATCATTCCCCTTCCCCATAGGGTATCTGCGGAGCCTGCCACAGCACCCAGCTCATGCTGGTCTCTCTGCACCCTCTCTCTGCCTGTGCAGCAAACTGTCCCTGTTCGGGCACCTCCGAGGCCTCCCACGACCCTTCAGACTCAGCTGATTGGGGCCCTGAGAATGTCGAGCTTGGGTGAGAGTTACAGGCCGGGTGCTAGCCGCTCAGCACGTAGGTGTGCAAAACAAGTGTGACTTCCACACCAAGGGGGTGGCGGAGGGAGGGGCAGCAGGAAAAGCAGTAACAGGAGGGTGTAAGATAAGGAGGCTGCGTGACTTTATCTCACATCCTCTTGTTAGATGCTTTTCCTGCTTCGCTCCCCTCTGGGCCCCTGCCATGCCAGTTACAGGCGTTTTTGCAATAAAGGTGTGACACCCCAGAGTGCTGCTGGAGAGAGACTTGCCTGGGACCCGCTGACTCCAGCGGCGGCAGTTATGGCTTTGCACGCTGACTCAGTGACAGATTGGTGCGAGATACCCTACTTCATCCCTTACTTGCATCTTCTCACCATCTTTTAGGTCACTGCTGACTTTGGCCCATAGATTACCATGGGAGCTGCACCGGTTTACCTGAGCTGGTCCTGTCTTTGCTGCAGCAGTGCTAATATCCTACATCTCAGCCTTCTCCATATCTCAGGCCCACCCCTTCCAGCTAGCCAGGATCCCCCTCCCATTTACTAACATGGGGGGTGAGAGGAACAGGGCAGCCACAATGCCCTGACCCCTGTTTGTGACCGCCAGGCTGAACGGCTACATAGCTGCCTGCTACATTACAACATGCAAGCGCTGAAGAAAGGGATAATAGTACAGTGGTCGGAACATTTCACTCATGAGTCAAGGCATTTCCCTTATTAGGGTGAGATGGGACCTCTTCCCTTTCCTCCAGTATGGTCTCCCAGCGCACTGATCTTGCCAGGAGGAGATACAGATTCCACTTTAGAGCTTGCACCGCCGGTCTGTGTGCCTGTGTGTTGGCAGAGAGGTCATGTAATGTGGGAAGACTGTATGATCCTGTATTTGCAAGCCTCTTCTCTTTAATTACAGCAGGCCTGAGGAGAGATTTAAACACTCTGTAGCTGGGTCAGGCCATGCAGTCATATTGAATAAGACATTTGCTGCAGAACACCTAGAAGAAAGGGAGGAATGACGGATAGACAAGAGCAGCGAGGAGCATGCCAACGAGATAACGCAGCTGTCACTCTTGGCGCTGGGAATAATCAGGGCTTGTTAGTTTAAAGCAGAGAAGATGCCACATTGTGACGCCAAATGGGCCGGGCTGGGCGGGTTTGTGAGGCTCAGACCCTGAGACAGTGATGGGGGTGGGGGAGGGGCCTTGTCAGACTAGGGGCGTAGCCACAGGTGCACCTGGGTGGGCCATGGCCCATCCACTTAGCATCCATGCCCACCCCCACAGCCCCGGCTCTGCTCCGGCCCCAGCGCTTACCCCCCTCCATCCGCCCGGCGCTTCAGCCAGGGAACGGGGTTGGGAGCTTGTCCCGCTCCACTCTCCCACCCAGCGCTCCAGCCCAGGAGTGGGGTCGGGGCGCAGGGGCTTGGCACTGGAGCACCTCCTCCCATTCTCCTCCAGCTGGGCGCCCGGCGGGTGAGTGCTTTGACTTGTACCCGCTGTGGTATTGCAGTGACCCGGACACAGGCACTACCCAGGGGAGGCCACCCTTCAGGAAACGTACCCAGGCGCTCAATGCTGAGGGTAGCAGTACCAGGACTTCCTTACACAGCAAGGAGGGACTCAGCTGGAGGCAGTGGGGCTACACTGGCGTACGTGAGATCAGAATCAAGCCCATTTGGGCCATAGGAAGCTTCTCCGATTGTCTTTGCTGTTTGCAGACTTGTTCACTATAGTGGGGTTTTCAAACTTTATTGCACTGTGACCCACTTCTGACAACAAATATTACTACAAGACCCCAGGCCAGGGGACCGAAGCCTGAGCCTGCCCGAGCCCCACCACCCCAGGTGGGGGGCCAAACCCCTGTTACCCGGGGCAGGGGGCCTGTAATCTGAGATCCACCACCAAGGGCTGAAGCCCTCAGGCTTCGGCTTTAGCCCTGGGCCCCAGCAAGTCTAACACCAGCCCTGGTGACCCCATTAAAATGGGGTTGTGACCCACTTTGGGGTCCCGACCCACAGTTTGAGGACCACTTCACTAGCGGGATTACACCAGCTCAGTGCAGGCCAAACCTCTGGGTTCTGATATGCAGCACGGAGAGGGACGTTCTCATCACAGGGGATGGTCTCGTCACTTTCCTCTCTGACTCCCAAGGCAAGTGTTCATTCTTTAAAAGAAGAAGAAGAAGAAGCAGCAATCCCCACTGCAGCTCCAGGAACTCCTCGAGCAGCAGCCACACTCAGGCAGCGATTGAGGACACGAGAGGGAGACAGGCCAGAAACACAGACTGACCCATTTAGTTGCTGCCCGAGCTGGGTGAGACAAGGGAAAATGAATCCGCATAAATGGGGAAAGCAGATTAGATTGCCGGGGCCTGGTTCTTTTCTCACACCAGCTGTACCCTAGTGCAATGCCATTGGGCCAGTCCCTGGCTCTGATCCAACAACCTCAAGCCTGGCATTAAGAGAAATCTGTCTGCCTGGGTGTGTGGCTAGGAAAAAGGGGGCATGGACAAGATGCCACTGTGTCTGACGGATCCTCAGCTGCAGGGATGGCTGCTGGGGATGTGGGAAGGAAATAGATTCAATGGTGCTCTAGGGACCAGGCAGGCAGCCCCAGAATCAGGGCAGCACAAAGGTGACTTAAAGACTCTCCTCACTTTACGGACCTGTGCCGAACACAGCTCAGCCGGAGCAGAGGCTCTGGACCTCTGGCTTTGGTGGGGTTCCTCCTCATTTCCCCCAGTGGGAAAGGGGAATCAAGTCCTTGGAGCATTAGCAATTCAGGGCGCTGCTAGTCAGCCAGGCCAGGCCATTCCTTTGAAACTCATGATGGTGACTCTTTAAATGTGACGGCGTAGGCTAACTGATCCCAGTCTAGGTCCATGCCCTGTCAGTTCATTGTTACTGGAGCTCAGGCTTTCATTGCAGGGAGCCGGAGAGCGGCTTTGGAAAGCACGGTCGCTTGTGCCACTGCTAACTGTCTATTGTTTTCTACTTCCAGAGCCGTATGTTTTGTACCAGCACCGCAGATGATGACCCTGCACTGACCTTGCCCTGAAGACCCCTGCAGCAGCGTTGGAAGGATTCCCCCGTTGATTATAATTATTTCATTTTTTGGTGGTTGGTTGGTTAGTTGCCGCTGCGAGTGGGGTTTGGTTTTTTGGTTTGGTTCTGGTTTTTTTTAACACCATGTCTAATCCTGGTGCCCCTCAAGACGCTGGTAACAAGCCCAACATGTTGGACAGAAATAACCCAGAGGACTCGCAGCCCCCTGTTAACTCCGAGAGGAGGAACAAAAGTGGGATCATAAGTGAACCTTTGAACAAAAGTCTTAAGAAATCGCGTCCACTCTCCCATTACTCCACCTTCAGCAGCAGCAGCTCGGTAAGCGAACATTCAGAGAAAGGAACCTCCTTAGCTAATGGCAATGAAGCCACAACTGTGGATAAAAGTCACTCTACCTCAAAGCACAAAAATATCTCTAGTATGCTGAGCAAATCAGACAGGGCGTCAGAAATCTCATCAGAAGGACAGATCAGCCTACAACAGTTTGCTCAGTCTACAGATATGCTCAAAAGAGTGGTACAGGAGCACATTCCTTTACCAAATGACCACGGGACTGGTATCTCTGATATGGAAGCGGTCTCAGCTGCAGAGACAATGAACAGCCCTTCTGATTTTCCTTACCTGGGGGCTTTTCCCATAAACCCAGGCCTTTTCATTATGACCCCTGCTGGCGTGTTTCTGGCAGAGAGCGCGCTCCATATGGCTGGCTTGGCAGAGTACCCAATGCAGAATGAATTGGCATCTGCCATCAATTCTGGGAAAAAGAAACGGAAAAGATGTGGCATGTGCCCTCCATGCCGAAGACGGATAAACTGCGAGCAGTGCAGCAGTTGTAGGAATCGCAAAACTGGCCACCAGATTTGCAAATTCCGAAAATGTGAGGAACTCAAAAAGAAGCCGTCTGCAGCGCTGGAGGTAACTGGCTGTAGTCCGACATCCTAACCTTTCTCTTGGTCTGCTGTCCTTTGGATGTTGATAGAGATGATAAAATCCCGGGGCTTTTTCCTTCTTAACAATTCCTGCCTTTAGCATCACACACAAATTGTCAGCGTTCCCCCCCCATGCTGATCGACTGTATTCTGATTAGTAATTAGCAGTAATATCACCTGAAATAGGTCTTGCCATGATGATTACAACCCTCAGTAGATTTGTATCCTTTTTATTGACGCCTGTAGGGGCTTTTGAGTTTTAATACCCTCTCACAATTGCACCTGCCAGCTAGCTAGCCATTGCTTAGTACAATTACTGAGCCAGTTAGTGAATCATGGGATGAGGGCCTGATCCAAAGCCTACTGAAGTCAGTGGTAGTCTTTCTGTGGACAGCAGTGGGTTTTGGATCAGGCCCTGAATTCTAGGCTTTTCAGGGCAGGTCTCAAGGTCACTCTGGTAGTCATTATCAATCTGTTAAACCTGTTTTTCCAAACTGGTGTTCCACTGTAAGTCATTAGTTTGCCCCTTGTTCTGAAAGGGAAGAAACAGGCTGTGGTTAATTCCTGTGAAAATGACTGTGCTGTGTGCAAATTGTTAGGGGATGAGCTCTTGAAAGTTGGTGTGATCAACTGGGGAATGGCCACTTCATTTGGGAAACATGTCCAGAACTGAGACAACCTAAGCTTACCTAGGGCTAGATTCTGAGTTTGAGGACACCAATATGAATCCATTGAAGAAAGAAGAGTTACTCCAGATATACACTAGTGTCACTGGGAATGGAATCTGACCCCTGATCTTTCCTTTTTTTATATCTGCAATGTGGGCCCGGTCCAATAGGCTTCCTCAGTGTCCAGTTCCGGAGCGTGCTGGGTGTCTCCTGGGAGCTGCTGCGAGCCAGCAGAATCAAGTGAGCATCCCTGGTGCTCTGCTCCTTTCAGGATTGGGTCCTTAATTTTTACTTGGGCAAACACTCTTTAAGATCACTGGGAGTTTAGTCTGAGTAAGGACTGCAGGATTTGGTGCTAGAAAAGAGCTGCCCCAACATATCCCGCTGGTTTGTGAAGCTGATTCCTGATCGAGTGTTAGTACAGGGCAGATGGGTTATTAATCTGGAGCCCATATGCAAGGCAGTGGGGATTGAGTTATCAGACATGCCTGAAATTCAACCAGAGCCTTGTGGAGCAAGATCAGAACTCAGTTGTTCTCAGTAAACTTCAGCTTAAATTATGTGAAAAGTTAGGCATGAGTTAGGAGCATACAGTGCCTCTGAGCATATTTCAGGCGTGAGATGGCAAGGAACTACTATGCTTTATTATTAACGCCAACATGTGTGCATCTATTCACTACTTCATCCATCCCTTCAATGAGGAAAGATCAATAAAATTGGGGGTTGGGGGAATCCCTGGCGTGGGCATTTTATATCATCAGATGCTCTTCCCATAAATCTATCTCTGTATTTTGGCTTTTTAAAATAAAATCTCCTAGCCATGGATTGACCAGGGCTTCTGAAGTTCAGCTGTGGAAGGACAGTTCACCCGCTGTCTGCCTGAATTTTCTCGCTTGAATTTAAAATCCCAGAAGACCTGTTGTTTGGAAACATTCTGTTGACCAGAGATGTTTTCTGATCCCCATGTGTTAGTTTTGTTGTGGTAGAGATGTGTGTAGCGCTTTATAAAGCCCAAGCACAAAAGCGATGTAGGTAGCAACAAAAGCAAACCTTTGCATGTCAAGGATACAACCTTGACCTGGATGAGCTGTGCGGATACGAGGGAACTGAATCTCCCCGCTGTTTCTTGAGCAGAAATGGCTCAAGTGTGAGTCAGTGTTTTGTGCTGGGACTAGTGACCACACTTGGCTGGGCTGAGTCCTCTGAACAAGGTCCTCTGTATATTCCATTTAATTCATGGTCAGTTTTTGGTAGCTTGACCACCGCTTAGGCTGTGTGCCTTCCTCCTCCTGCTGAAGATTGCTCCTGTGAAGCCAACAAAGGTTAAAAACACCTCGGCCTCAGTTGAGGCAGCAAGATGTTGTACCAGGTTGCAAGGGTATTATGCAACCTCTGACGTCTTCTGAAGGAGAGAACTTACTGTTTTCTTAGCCACATTCTAAGTTTTCAATTAACATCATATCTGAATGAATAGTGAAGGGGAAAAAAATCTATTTGGGTGGCAGGGGTATGAGGGGACTGGTGTCTTTCAAAAACCGCTGTATTGCTAAATTATATTCTTGTTCTAATTTGCTGAGTCAGTGATCTGGAAAAAGGGAGAGGGGGAAAAAAAAGTTCATCTTTTCTGAAGAGTCCTAAAGCAGGTCAATTGATTCCATAGCTCACATTAGGTTGAAGAGGGTTTTCTTCCTGCAATATGAATTAAATATGGAAGTTAAATTGCATGGGGAGCCCTTTGAACGCCCACCCGTTTGATTTGTTTCCTGTTCTACGGCTGACTGGGAAATCGGAGTCACTGGAATCGGGCTTTTAATTTATGATTTGGGACCTCTGAGTGGATGGGTCACTTTCCTTTCCGAGTGAATTTGGAATAACGCATAGGTGTAGGACAGGTGACTCAACAGGAATCCCAGATGTGGATAGGTGCATAGGCAGAAATGGATTGATAGCTGTTATTGGCTCTAAAGTTTCAGGTAAGATTCCATCCTTTGGAGAACTAAGGAACTTACAGTCACCAAAATAGGGCGAAACCTCAAATACTGTACGTTTATGGCCACTCTTTCCATGAGATCGCCCCAGAAACTGCATTCTCATTCACACTGCCTACCTAGTTTTCAGTCCATATGCGTAGGTAGGTGAAGACAGGGTGGCAGACTGTGAGCTGCCGGCCAGTGGGAGATGCAGTTCTCATGCGCTTTAAGGCGATCCAGTGCATTCTTCCACTCACTGGAGCCTGGTGGTGCTGAGGGCTGTGTACACTATAGAACTCAACCTCTTCTGAAATGTTCATTGTTTGTCTCTTTCCTGATGAAAATATCCTCCTCTTAGACTTTGTCATCTCCATAATGTGAGACAAATTTGGGAAGTCACCAGTGTTTCGACACAATTTATTGGTGATTAAACCTTCACCAACTTCACCTATCACTGTTGGCCGAAGCACTGCAACAAATTCACGCAACATCACTGTGTCCTACTCAGTTTCTTGGCTCAATAGCGCCCCCTGGAGATGGTCATGGCTCCTGTTTTGAGAGCAGAGGTATTGCTGATGGTCTCTGTTCCTCCATTGCTGGTGATGGCTAGACAAGGAAGTGTTGTCCTGACGTTATTCTTGTGTGGCTTCAAAAATCTCTCAAGAGCCATACTTCCTCCCTTTCTGAGCTAGCTGGGCAAACACTGGAGAACAATATTCACATACGCTCATTTGAACGAACTCTGTGAATCCAGTTCAACGGCATCCATGACATTCCGTATTAATTTTTGGTGACCTTTGGGCTCCTCCCCCTTGTACAATTGTACAAGAATGAGTGTGGAAGGTTCAGGTCTCTTGTGAATACAAGTGCAAATATGTGGCCATCTTAAAATCTCTTTCAGGTGCCTCTTCTGTGATGCAAAAGGTTCTGTTATCCAATGGGAGAACAGAAACAAGATCATGTGGCCTAGATGACCATTCACACATGCCAAAGGGCAAATAGAGCGAGAGAGTGAAGCGTTAGAGATCAGCCCATTGCCTGGTATACGTTCGTTTGCAGTAGTGTTCAAACAGCTCTGAATAACAACCAGTCCAGCTCAATGCCTGGTGCACACAGGTCTGATTCACTGCGACCTGAAGTGAGTGGGGCTCTGCCCAGGCACTGGCTTGCTCAGTAGATGAGTCTAAGCACTTACGTGACTCATTCATCATCTTCCTTCTCTATACAGAGCCCCATCCTGAGAGGGGTTGAGTACGTGCTTAGCACACACAACTACCGTGGAGAGTCAGAGGTGCTCGGCACCTCTCCGGATTGGGTCCATAGTCTCTTATAACCTTTCCAGACTCATCTTTGACCTGGGACTTCTTAATTGTCCTGAACTTTCTAGCACCTGTATTCCTCCAAACAAAGCCCTGAATCGGCCTTTCAGATCGGCACGCCTGGCCCCTGGTTCAGCATTATCAGCGGAGCTGTTCCTCAGAGCAGGCTGAGTGCTGGAGGTGAGGGAGGCCCCTGGGATCTTGGCACTTGAGGTACCTCCCCTGCCCGTGTAGAAACCTGGGTCTGCTGTGCACTGGGAGTGTGTCCATGTACCATGGGTCAGCGTGGCTGTGCACTGCTGGGCTTCAATTCAGGCAGTGCCCTGAGCCCTTAGGAACGAGGCAACGCAGGGCATGGACAGAAAGCTATGTTTAAAGGTGTATCCTCACTAAGAGACACTCGATCTTCCTGGCTACATACCATCTCTGGCCCCCGTGACTCCTCTTGATTGCACTGGTGTCCCCAGCAGCATAAGGCCTATGTGGGGTGTCAGTGAAAGTCAGTCCCACGCGGGGGTTCATGCACCTCCTGAGCTATCTGTAGAGCTGGCTTTTGGGACCTTGGGAAGTTCATGGCCCAGGGCTTCAGAACCATGTTGGCCCCCTGTTTTGTGAGATGACCTTAACTCGGAGGGGCCGCCTGCCGTCTGAATGTGCTTCTGGGGGCTGTGGTAGCTCTGCCGAACGGAAAGCAGCATGTCCAAACCCAGGGAAAGACCTGCCATGCCCGTTTTGCCTGGCCACCATGTGGTGGAGGGCAGTAGCCATCCCTAGCCATAGGAAGAGGGAGTAAGTAGAGGAAAGCATTTGAGGAAGGAGGGAAGAGAGACAGAGGATAACGTCCTGGGGAGTGAGCTGTCTGTCACAGCGGGGGTGAGGAGTAGAGTCCACGCCCAGCACGGCTGTCCGTCACCTAAAATATCCCCTCCCTGAATGTTCAGGATGCTCTGCTATCAATAGCCACATCAGAACGGTCTTGGCCAACGCTTCCAAAGAGGGTTGCTGCTCTTGCATTTTGAGCCATAGCAT